TCCAGTGTCAAGATAGCAACGATAAAATGTGCTCATTGTCAAGAATAAACGGATAATAAGAAGTAATATATGCAATCATATATATACAACCATATACAACCATATACATTATAAAGAATATTATAGACTTGTTCAATAGAAGTTTTAAAAATAACCTTTAATAAATGTTTGGTTTTTATCTTTCCGGAAAAAGCGGGTTATGAAATAAGCCCTTACATGGATACTTACGCTCCCTGTCCATCAATTGTGCAACCCCATCACATTTTCCACTTGTCTCTTCTTTTGGCGATTGTCGGTCATGGTGCTGCCTTGATTCATGCATAATGGCTGGCGCGAGTTCCAAACCGTGACCTGTATAATATTGGCAGGGTGTGAATACAGATGCGAATGCACTGGTTAGTTCTTGTAATAAGAACGCTCGCCCAACGTGTCGGTGGTTGCCCTCGGAGTCTGGTGTGTTCTCGTGGAGTCCACTTAACAGTTCGCTTTGTCCATCTATCGTCTGATCATCACTATACAGCCGGCCCATATGTGCTTCGCTGTTGATGCATGTTCTTCCGCGTCACAAAGTTGTAATAGCTTTATGGAATTTGAGCTGGCAGGCTGGCTAGGTGTTGTGAGTGCCGACTGATTTTCTTGATATCCCTTTCCAGACGGCGCCATTTTCAGCTGGCGGGCGCCTGGGACAGCCTATTAAGAGAGGCTGCCGGCGCCTGCTCCAAGGCTAATGTGATGGTTTTTCTAATGAATTCTATGCTTTTTTACCAATAAAAGAGGTTTATATGTCAATAGATGGTCAAATATGATGAAACTGATCTCAATAAGGCTATTTTTATTACGAATAACATGGTGTACACAATATGTGGAGTGTTGTACAAAAACGTTTGCGTCAGGCGGGATTTGTACCCGGATCTCACTCCTTCCGGGTGCGTATGCTAACCGTTGCACTACCGGCGCTCGTTTTGCACAGCACTCTTATTTAAGCTATAACGCGTTGTCTGCCAACAGCCAACCGTCGACGGTCTGGCGAGGCAGCCGCTATCGGCATTGAACCCACTTGTGTTAACAGACATATGCTATACTATAATCATACAACTGCAAGTGGCAGTCAAAATAGAAAGAATTCAGAGAAATAAAATAAGTGCTCCATTTTTGAACCATATCTCTCAAGGGAAAAACCAAGCCTTTATCGAACATTTCTGCGATATCTTATCCCTATTTATACACCTTTTGGTTAAATTTGTTCTTTTTTTACCAGTTTTCATACATTTTATTTCATAAAGTGCATAAAATTCATCATACCGCCTGAAAAATGGAAAACAATAAATAGTTTTTCAAAAATAGTGTTGCTTATTGCATGCGATCCTAGTTCATCGGGATTGCTAGATTTTTTTGATTAACACTGCACTCTAGATTCCCTTTTCTCAGAATAGTTGTATGAGAGGAAGAGATGGAGGTGTACCGATTCCGTCTTGTAACCTCCACCCTGTATGAGTCTGTTGGTATAAATGTATTTTTTGTTTTTGTAAGAGTTTTAATAGTCATTTGATAGCATGTATATTTGAACGAAGTATGTTATTGTTTGAATGACCTGTTTTCCTTCGCTGCAGCGGTTAAAAGAATATTTCGTAAGACATTCAAGTATTTCTCGCCGGATAAAAGGTCTTTCATAAGCAGTTGATAATCATTAGATAGGGCAAATCTTAGCGATTTCAACTATATACTTGTTTTTTGGAAAAGACTTTCTGGAGTGCTGTAAGAGTCAGAAGAAATTAAGTTTCGCAAATTTGGATCATTTTCAATGGACGCATCCTTTTTTGACCTCTTGGGAAAAGCGCGTTTTCTGATTTTTTCAGAGTTTGTGATAACCATTCGATAGCTCAAGTGGCGAGAATTTTGATGGCATGCTTCATTTTTCAAATGGTTTCCTTAATATGCTTTAATTCTAAGAATAAAAAATAAAAATAATGCTTTCTTAAAACCACAGCTCAAATTTCAATATGCCTGATAATCATTTCTTGAGCCACGCATGTCAGTGGTCTGTCAAAGAGAGCTGACTAATAGAGGATTGGCAAAAGACGAGAAAGGGTAACTGCCCGACGGACGAGATCGCTAGATCGAAGCACGTGTATCGGGCCCTATTAGTCACCCTTCTTTAACAGGCCACTGACATGCGTGGCTCAAGAAATGATTATCAGGCATATAAAAACCAGTTGTCGCCGCTTGTGTTGTGGGGACCCAAATCAATTCTAGGCAAGCGTCATAATATTATCGAGAAATAGGTCAATTTGGTTGCGCTGAAGAAGCGTTGACTATTTATCAAAGCAGTGAATTTTTTGTAATTGTAGTTCAATTTGTGTAGTATCCATCTTCCTAGTCTCAGTGGTACCCAATTTTTCAAAGTGTTCTAATTGGTAAATCATTAGTCCTTCTACAATTTCAGAAAAAGTTGCGCATTTATTTGCTTATAGGCAACTCGAATTCATGCCTTCAGTAATATAAGCACATCTGCGGCTAACCTGACTTTCTAGGTCCGGTTCGGACAAAACTTTCCGAACTAGCGTCAGTGTATTCGATAAGACTTTTCTGGCGCTATGAATGATACAAGCCACTTGGATGCACTAGTTCCGTGTTTGAAAAACGTTAGATTTCATTGAAATCCATATCTAAATCACCAACCTTGAAAAGGTGGTGAAAACGCAATTTACATATTGATTCAGTCATAATCTGCAAAGCGCATAAAATAAGCTTTCAGTGATATGTGATAGTACAGTATTCACAGATGAATGGCTACTAATAGAACACACGTTGAAGAGATGAGAAGAGATGAATTAGAGAATCGACATTGACATCCAGAAGAACCGTATAGTATGAATCGAAATGGGAATAAAAGTTTTCGGCTGGAATAGACGCTAATATCTATTCAAATTCCAAAAAGCTAAAATCCAATCTCCAGATAAAGAAGGTTTTTGCAGTTGAGGCCAGGAACAAGCAACAGAACTGCATTATCGTTCGGAACACGGTGACTTCCATGTGCAAACTAGAGAATCAGTGTCAAATAAGCATGGCTGCCAAGTTATTACCTATTGACGCAAGCACTTGTCAATTTCAGGATCAATTACGGTTTCAAATACACATCCTTCAAGAGAGAACTCCGCATTGGAGAAAAAAGATTTTTTCAGAGCACAAACATCGTAATGGCGAACTGGTCGAGGGAGATGTGGCAAAGTGTAGTGAGCAGAGCACTTCGAACGATAGCTTCACGTCAATTTGGATCGCACTTCGCCACAGCAGTTGTTACCGTCAGCTAAAACGTGATTCCAATTCGAAACTGCTTGAAATACAAAGTGTGTTGTGCGATTTTGAAACAGTATAGGCTTACAAAACAATAGACGAGCTAATCACAGCACCACTGGTAAGTCAGAGTGCCTTACCTGTATCACATGTCTTCCCAGATGATTGAGTAAATCAAAAGGCGGCAGTACAACTTTTATTCTTCTCTACTGCGAACAGAAATAGTCTGATTGCTTCTTTTTGCTATAAAAATTCATTGATTATGAACTTTTATGTTTTCGTGAAAAATTTGTTCATCGGTTCATCTTCCTGCTGTGGGTTTGATCTACTGAGTAATCGAATCCATGAAGGCTCTTACTCTTCGGTTGCGCTGAAACGTATTAAAAGTTCGGCCTCCTGCCCTTCGATAGTTTGGCGTGTTGAACGGTGTCCCAAAATTTTTATAAATGAAGTAAATTGAAGCTTAGTTTCGAAGTTTATGACGCAAATGCTAAGGCGGGAAGAATCTTGGAGAAGAAAAGGTGAGCACAAAATCGGGTGTTAATTGCTATCTTCACTCCATCCTTTATGGTCCTAAAAGCTTCCTATGACCACTCGCTTCCTCTTAGTCAACTTCAGAGCTCGCCTATCGCATTAATTTCTCGACTTCCATAGACGTAACTGCAGCATTTATGAGCTCTCAATCCACATAGCATGACTGGGGCGTTTGAAGCCAATCCGTTCCTCATAAGCAGAGCTTCGTAAGATATAATATAATACCAAAATCTCCACATGCACTCTTGGAGTTCGGCTAATATTCGCTCTGCCTAGCTGGTGCTTGTTGTATAAGAACATTGTCATTAGGAAAAGTGAGGGGTGTAACCACACCATGGAATTTTTTTATCCCCATCTTGAGCTATCCCACTGTTAGCGTAAGGTTCTGGTGGATGACAGTGAGTAATAATGTTGGTAAAATGCTATCGTCTTGCTCAACCGCTGGACTCCCTCTACGTCTATGATAGCATCGTTATTGAATGATAATATCTTGGTTATGAAACCTAAGGACTTATGAAATATCTTTTACGTATATTGATGTACCAGATCAATATGGGGCGGACAAAACTAATTTGATAACTTGAAGGCATCCGTGAGAAACCGATTAACATCGACACTATTTCGTTCAACTTCTACAGGAAAGAAAGAACTTTGTTGTACCATTCAAAAAGAAGAGAGCAAAAAATTGTTCTTCTTACTACTACCGCAAATTTTATCGACATAATAGAAAAAATAAAGGATTTAGACACAAAAGTGGTAATTTATGACACTGGCAGTGCATTCAGCAATGATTCTGTTGTTTGGCGCTGTTCAGTCGCTACCTGCTCGTTTTACAGATATTGAAGACTAGAGAGAGTACTCATAATACCCTGAAAGCGAAAGCACTCATTCTACCAGGATATATAAAGTCACGTACGCGCTTGAATTTTATTTTACACGATCTACATCACATATAATGCGAAATCCACCATTTCTTGGATCAATTCGCTTCATCGTATTCATCAATTGCGCAGGCGTTCGGACTTTTCCTGTCGGTTCAATTGTTGCCGAGCACGCATTTCCCGAAAGAGTGAGATGCGGGTTCAAGTCTCGCCTGACGCGAAAGTTTTGCACATCACTCTACATTAATGGGTGTGTAATTCCTAAGAGAATTTAGTGGTGAGCGAAAACATGGCCTTAGGCGGGAACCGAACCCGCGTTTCATCCTATGCAGGTACGCGTGCTCTACCACTACACCACCGAGGCACATTTGCCCGACCACTCAATCTTCAAATCTCTATGCGAAAAAGGGTCTATATAGACCTCACTCAAAGCAATGATAATCTGGTAGCATGATAACATGCCTGAGCCTGTTGTTATGAGCTCTGACAAAGGCACTTATACAACGCCAGGTAGGTTCCTCCGATCTTTTCGGTCTCCTCAGTTGCTTTCTCTTAGACATATTTGAACATCACAACACCGCAAAAAAAGCAGTAAAAATGTAAGAAATCTTAGGTATTTTAGAACTTCTCACTTAATACCAGGTATCACATCGCTGCTCTCGAAATCAGGAGAAAAAAATTATTCAGGTTATACCGTGCATTTTTGAGTAGCTGTCAGCACAGCTGATTATGCTAATATGTGTTTATCCTGCAAAACTAAATGAAGGTTAGCTGCTGAGAGCCACGAAAGGATACATCAAGGAAAGCACTGGACCGGTGGCTTTGGTAGTGTAGTGGTAGCACGCGCCCCACTATGAATGAGAAGAGGGTTCAGCATTCGTCTATGTCGAATGCTTTGCTTACCACTCAACACGCTTGGATATGTGATTGCACACTATTTTACTGATAAAATGTAATAATAGAAAAAAACTCACTCAAGATGACAAAAATTACCTTCTGCTGCAATTGCGTCATAGAGAACGAATTCATACTAAAAGTGGATAAACAGCATCAAATGTTTCAGAAATATCAAATAATGAAACAAACTTCCTGATTCATACCCTTCAATGCTTCTTCCACGACACGATTCGTTTCATCCTCTGATGAAAAATAATCAAACTAGACACATTTGGAAACTACAATAGAAAAATAGTTGTAACGAAGTTGAGCTGTAAACAAATATATATTCGATAATGTTGATTGATATGCAAAACTTTGAACCTTAGACGCGAATTAACTCGTACTGCATAGTTTCCGGGGCGCGTGTTAACCACTTGCACTAACGAAACTGGAACTGAAAATAGTCACACGATTCTTGGCTGAAAGCTTGTTGATCATGGAATCTTTTTTGCCTTGGCCAAAACCCACTGGCTCATCAAGAACCACATGGAAAGTTTAAGGAGAAGACTGTACCGAAATTATTCCTCGCTCATCACAACAGACGGAACTGTTTATACAGCTTCGTCGAACGCTCATGATATTCGTAATAGCGCCGTTAGTGATATCGATTTGTCACTAGCAGAACAGACAGAATTATTACATTTGAAGGCCTTGAGCGGTATGCAAATACATTTGACATCTTGTTTTGCGTGGGACAATTTTCGCTGTCTAGAACTTGAGTAATTTTCTAGCTTCACCCAATACTTCAATCACTATTATAATGTGAATCAAATAGATGTAAAGATGTTCTTCAGAAGAATTTGAAGTTTGATTGAGGTATAATTGTCAACCGAGAGTTCATCGTCCTCCAATGTACAAGCTGTTCTTCGAGCTGCACAGTAACTTTGCGAACGAAAGAGAGGCTTTGCAGCTCCCTATCAGGGATATGTTGGAATCAAATCAAATGCAATTATGCGTAGTGATCTTTTTAGTAAGGTTGAGTAAATGTTTTTTGATGAAAAAAACTAGGGTTGCTTCAAAGTTCTGCGGTACAGAATGACCAGGAGCAACCTTTTACAGTTGTAGAACAATATTTCGAATTATCAAGACGATCATTTCTAGAAAAGCTCACAATAGTTACGCAAATGAACTGAAATTCTACTTACGAAATAGACAATAACAAATTTTGTTTTGTTTGCATATCACCGAGACACTTCGAGGAATTGACGGGCTCCATAAACGCCCCTACTATTAGGAACACAACTTTTGAAAAGTCACTAAAGATGCCTGAGGTCTGTGCCAGCTCAGCCGTGTTATTTGGAACGTGTATTTTTCTTCTACATATCGATACATCGACAATTCCAGTAAATAGAAGTATTCATGCGGCTTGAGACAAAACTTTCTACTTTGATGTAGTTGATTGCTCTGAGGAAATCTTAATTACATCTCCCCTTTCTTCCTTATGTTGGTCTCATAGATTCTTGACGCCTCATATTCCTCGTCTGCTTTAAGCCTTTCAGTGAGAATACGCAAAAGCCTCTTTTTTGCTTCCAAATGGCCTCTTAATCAGCAAAGAAGATTTCTCACTCGCACAGAAGGAAGAAGCCCGTGAAAATAAGACATCTTAACGAATGGATGACTCTCCTCAATCATTTTGCCGCCCAAGATCATTCCGCACCAAAACTTGTTCGCTTTTGATAATCGATAACTGACTCCACACATTTTATCTCAAAATGTTTCTAGCACAGTGTTCAGTCAGTCGTGAATTATTTTATTCGGGAAAAGTAGGTATTTCATGGCTCAGCTATACGACTGAGACAGTGCGAAACCAATTTAAGCCACACTGGTTGAGCAATTTGCGTATACAATGTCAATTGTGTAGAGTGAGACTTTCAGATTTCTCGTTCTCACTGGATACTTGACTTGCATTGATTCTTCCTACTGAATTCTCGTATGTTTTCAGATAGCAAAATCTGTCATAGACGATGGCATTGAAATGATTGATTGTCAGTCCTACAAGCCGTCTATAAGTCAAAGCTGGAGATAGTTGCTTTAATGACTGCTACCTACACGTGTTGAGTGCCAAATTCAATGTTGTCATGTGAATAGACTAATCAGGAGGAGGGTAAAAATGGTTTCACTCAAATCTGTAACATATGACATGCCTCTTAGGAGCAGCAGATGAATTGTCTTATAAACATGGCAAAGCTTCCGATCGTTCTGATTTCGTTTCAGGCCACATTCTCTTATTGTTAGAATGTCGAGCGTTGTCCAAAGCCGAAGTAAGTGGTAGAAAATTGTTACGGTAGCATAGAAATTTGTAATTTCACATATAAAGTACCAAACCTTGATTAAAAATCATAAACAATACTTTATCACCGCTTATAAGCTGCTTCAAGTCAACGGTAATTATGGAAAATTCCGATTAGGATATAGCTAAAGAAGAGAAAAAAAAAGAAATTTCTGGAGAAACACATTGTATATCGACAACACACCTTCATGTTAGGAAATCAGTCGACCATCGCTTCAGCAGCTAACCGCGTGGACGCCTCCGCTAGTCGACGCGATCGGTCAACGGCCAGCTTCTCGCACATAGGAACCCAGCTTATTTTACCTGCTGCCTTTCGAAAAAGCGGTTATCTCACTACATAAGCACATCGTTGGCATCAGAAGCGATTATGCTGTCGAATAATTCTCATACTCCGAAGGAAGAGCTCTGTCCGGCGAGAAATATGGGCGTCTTCCAATCAAGAAATTTCATCCTGTTCCAACGTCAAAAAGGCTTTTCAGAAACCGACGATATGGGGCGGTAGCCTGATGTCTCAGAATTCGAATGGTTATCAATGCTCCTATGAACACTTCTCCTCCACCAAATGAGGTCGATTTTTCATATGTTCTCTTATAATGAGGAAGAACCGAAAGTTCTACTGATCATTCCAGAAACAATACACAATCACACCATTGCGTTAAGATCCGGCAATTTGACGGCCAAATGTCCTTGCACCAAAAGCCTAAAAACAGCTTCTGACAGATGGCAGTGGTTGAGGATTCGAAAGCTTATGTCCCCAGTCCTGCTGAATCGTAACGCTATCAGCGCCAGAGTGCCGAGTATTACAAGGCTCCAGTATGCCCGTAATTTGCTACTGATAGCTGGCAGCGTTGATTTTGACGTTTATGTTGATGAAGACCATCGGATTGTTTCCAATCGCGCAAATGCTGGCCCACCTCATTACGGAGGTCGCAAGATGACTTAGCCTATTATTTTTGCTACTGCGGACTTTTGCTGGCCTATCTTGAGGTGTTGACGGCGATTTTGGCGATTGCAGAGTGGTTCGACCGTAAATATCGTCTCATCCGTAAAGCACCTTGGGCAAACGAGCCATAGCTATCAACGAATCATTCGGCGAGTTTGAAGCCATTCTTTCTCTTGTCTTTTCGTCCAGAAAGTAAACAGGAGCGATGCGGTAGCTGCTCAGCTTCACCTTACTTTTTACAATGTTTCGGACGCTACACTCTTCCTGAGCTTCGCGAGCCATTTTGCCAGCAATCGTTTAATTTCGTTGATTTTGGCAACGGTTGCTCTAAATTTTTCCGGATCAGATAAGGTGCTTGGACGACCTTTTCGAGGACGGTTCTTAACCTCGTTAATTTCTCCTAAGCGTTTCACTGCTCTGTATACATTTGTTGGTTTGAAGCCAGTCGATTCTAAAAATGTCAGTCGTTTTCATATTCGTCGTTTGCAACTCAGCTACAGCGATACGTTGAATATTACAATCCACAACTTGAGCATATCTGGAAATAGAAAAAATAAATTAAAGAGATGGTAGACTGCATTTAAACAAAGAATCAAGTAAAATTGTCGGCATTAATTGAGAAAAAATCATTGCTAATATTGATAAAAGACAAAATCAAAAATTTTTGCGCATCCTCTTATAGTATCATTTTATCATATCAGAAACTCGATTTATCAGTAAGTAACACAGTGACTTGGAATAACCTGCAGTACCCACGTAGCTGTTAATTTGATGCCGCGCCACGAGTTCACTAAACCCTCCTGTCTCTACGCTCGTCAAACTTGTAACAGACTTACCAGCAAATAGCAGCGCATATTTGTACATCGGTGGGCCACTGCAACTTATAGCTCAGATATGCATTCAATCACCTCAAACGATGTTTCTCGAAGACGAACACATAAGCCATCTTCAAGGGATAGATAAGGTCAGCAACAGTATTCTTTTTGGCTCTTAATGACAAGTATTACCTATTTTTAAGCTTCAAAGTTCACGAAATAATTGCTTGATGTTAGTACGAAAAAAAAACTTTACACATGTTTGTTTCGCTTGAAGGTCTAGTACTTCACGGTTAGCAACCTCGTCATTGATTATGGCGACCAAAAAATCGCTGGAATGCACTAATGCAATTTGCTCACCAGAACAGAAATGTTAT